TGTGTAACAAAAAAAAAAAGCATATTAAAGCTACATATTTGGGAGTTCTTCTTTCAAACAGAAACTCTATTCCACCTTGTGATATGTGGTGATACAGGAAGTGCTCCATTGTGTTTTTCAAGTTCATACACCGTCAATGGAATCATTTGGATAATTTAAGACCTAGAATTGTTAATTTCTACTGAACAAAAGGTAAAAGTTAGCTCTTAATTTGAAAACTACTGCTTCATGACATCACAAGGTGGAACAGAGCATTTTGAGCTTTGGAGATGTAGATAAACTAATAATGCTGGGTTACTCAAACATGTGTGAATGAAACAAAACAATTCCAGGTATGTTTTTGATGACGTAACAACCTTCTAATGTGACTAAAACCTCACAGCAGAGCCCTGCACCTGACGCAAAACAGTGCAGTGCAGGAGCAAACTAAACATGAGGTAAAAAGTAAAATAGTGATTAATGTATGCCTATCATGCATCATTTGTTCTGGATGTTTCATTTGACATAATAAAAACATTTTAAGCAGCCTAAATTTGCGGACGTGGTCTAATCTGGTGCATGTTTTAGACAATTCCTTTCCGCTTCTCCATGTTTGATATTGCAGATGCGGGAGGGAGCAGGAATGAAAATTACAATTCTTTGCGGGCACTGGCGAGAGCGGGAAAATTCTACTCCGCGCAGACCTCTACCTCACAGCAAACATAATTTGTGTATTAATTAAAGGACTTTTAACAATAGAAAACAATATGCCAACTATGTGAGTAGAGTTGTTTTGACACATAACTAAGATACTTTTCTATTCATTTATTGCCGTGTAAAAGTATAACTGACTTGTGGACCTTTTACTTGGACAAGTGTATGAGCTGTTGCATAAATCCCCACTATTTTATTTTAACATAATGTTTTAACACCAGCTTTTGTAAAAGGTGAATGAGTTCACACATTGTCACTTTAAGCTTCAACACTTCAAGTACTTATGCATCGCAAAGACAGATATATGAAAATACTCTCCTGTAATCATTGTCTTCAAAGCTATTTTTAATCAACAGAGGTTTTCTAGTGACTCCCTGCTCACTGTCAGCCTTGGCCCATTATATGTGTTACAGCATCAGGGGCCGTGTGCATCTCCAGTGGCGTCCAAAACCAAGGAGTGGATTCAATTTGCTGCAGTGTGATCTAATCTTAGTCCTATGGGGTGATAAGATGCTCTGGTAGTGCTGTTTTGCCCCATGCTTTCTGGAGCTAAGGGGAATAATGCAAAGCAATAAGTGAGTTTGACAGATAGACGTCACTCTGACTATGGTCCGGAGAGAGCGGAGGAGTGTACACGGGTTATCCAGGGATGACCTTGAGCTCATTTAAAAGTGACACCTCGTGGGATTATTTAGCTAGTGACATGATGGGTTAGAAGTTCAAGCTAAAACAGATATGGCTGTACAGTATACTACAAAGAAATGTTATTGTGAGCAAAGGCAAAGTGCACAGATGTGTTCAAATAATTATGCTCCTCCACCTGTTTCTGTTTGGTTTTTCATTTCAGGGTCATCATCCCAAAACATCTGCCTTAGTATGCAGCGTTAGTTTAAAATAGATTTGTTGGTTTAATAAAGAGTCTTTCCTAGTACAAACCTATTGATTGATACTTCAAGATGCACAAAGAAGAGTACATAAAAAGGCTTGGATGAATGGATTTCTCAAAGTCAAAAATATAAAAACATATAAAAAGAAAGGTTAGATAAGAGAACTGAATATTTGGCTTTTTATTTTTTTTTTACCCAGATTTCAATTGCGACGAATATGTTTTTAAAACTGTCGCTCTCTCTGTGTGCCCCTTTTAACCATTTTGCATAACATTTTTCACAAAAGTGAAATGTTAATTTGTGAGATTTACTACAGTGCATTAATACTGATATTGGTATCACTTGTTGACAGTGATACCAACAGCAGCAAAACAAATATAAGTTATTCATATCGTAACCTTGCTCTGGGTGGGTTGTCGTGAGGGTTGGGTTTACAGACTCAAGAGAATCCATCTTGTATGGCTCACAGCTAATCAGTTTGAACCCTCTTTTAATGTTTAAATTAGCCAAAACTTGTATTGTTTTATTGTACAAGCATGTTAACTCTGCTGAGAGTCCCTCCTCCTCCTGAACTAAATTGACGGGAGCCATTCCAGATTGATAATGGGTACAATTAAATTCAAAGTGCTACAAATATAAATCTGGTGTTAAATATGCTATGCCTGGATAATTGTAGTTCATAGATATTATATATGATTTTGAAATATGCAGTCCTTTCACAGTTTTACCGCAGCAGAGAACTTGATACATTCATATGAATAAAGACAAATGGGCAGTAATGTGAGAAAGTTCTATGGGGCGGTGGATCTATTTGGTGCTGTAGAAACGGCAAGTGTCAGAGCTGTGTGTGTGAACTGTTGTGAATGTAGATATTAATCAGTGTTTGGTGTTAGACAGCTGCCACCCTGGAGCCCACAGCCGGGTGTCATATCCCCGTCACAGAGCACCCATAGGAGCGGGATACTCCTCTCAGGGAAAGAGCCTCTCCGAGCAGCAGGCAGTTCACGGCTCATGTTTTGGCAGATGCCCTTGTCAAAAACATCTCCTAATGCAAGATGCTGGTGTTAGAGTCATATCCTGTGTGGGGTTTGACACAGGGAGCAGATGTGCAGGGGAAGCAGCTATTCTGATTCCATTGTGATGTACAGTATATGGCCTTATGAGAATGCTTCTATTGTAGGTACAAGGAAGGCATTGCTTTATATGCTTTTGTAAAGTTATATGGCAATTACATATCATGAAGATTATATTACAAAACACATACAGTCTGAAATCCAATTATTTATGTTTTGTTTCTAGTTTGTACTGGCTACAAAAATGCACACCAAAAATGTGATCATGATATGATTTCTGGAGTTATCAGATTATTGAAATGTCATGTAAACAGTGAGGTGAGTAATCTGATTTCTTTCAAATTGTTTTTGCAAAAATGTCTTTGTCAAAGCCTGTGCAGATGTGAACACACTAACTAGCAAATGTGGAAAAACAAAGATTAAAAGAGTTATTTAAAATGTATTGGATTTTTCATATAACTTTCTAATTTACTCTAAAACTTGATTAGTGCACACATGTTATTCTCATTTTCAGATTTTTACTGGCCATGTAAATGTACCCAGTGAGATTGATGCTGCTTTGGTGTTTGGTATTTATGCCTGATGTCTTTCTAAATACAACCCTGTTTTGTTGAGGTTTAGGACTAGCACAAATAATTACATACAACCCAGGATTCAGTGAAATAAACAGCTAGAAAATAAGGTAGTCCCATTCTACAGTATTGTGAATGTTATCAGTAAAAATGCCAGAACTTTGAAAAAAACAGTGGCTAACAGGAGCACATGTCGCAGTTTGATGTTGGAGGAACCGGAAGCAAAGGAAGTTGATAGTGTTAGCTGTGGGCCAGACATTAATTTAGCCTAGCTTTATGACCGCAGCCTGATCAATAGCCTGTCTGTATGGAGAGGGGCCCTGGGTCTCCACTTAATTGCTCTGTGCACTTCTCATCACTCCAGAACTCATTGGAAAGTCTTTCTATTCACAGTCCTGTGCGTTGGTAAAGGGTGAATGGACTCCCTTATAGGAGTAATAGAGTGGTACATACAGACAGACAAGTGGATTTGGTAAAGTTTTAGCTGACAATACTTTTTCATAGTGTTTCATAGTGATGTTATATTAGCACAGTTTCTATCGCGATTAACAATTTAAGATTTGTGACTACTTTTAAGGTGTTGTGAAATCATTTTGAGTATGAGTTTGTTGATCCTTTTTATGTATATTATGTGTAGTTATTTTTAAGTGTTATCCCCCCAAATATTTAATCTTTTGAATGGTGAAAAGTTCAGTAGTAAAGTAGTTTATGCAGTGCACAGAATTACCCTACAAGTACATTCCCGATGATTATCCTGTTTTATATTTTAGAGAGGTTTTTCTAAATGTGAAATGATTGCGCAAGTGTATTATGATATGCGTTGTTGTTGCCAATTCACAGCTCTAACTGGGACCATCATAAAACAAACATCCCAGGTTTATCTGAATATGTGACAAAGCGAGTTCCCCAAATCTAATTCAGGATTCAGTCTGCATTATTGTTATTCAAATGTGTGAGAGCTTTGCAGCAGTTCAAAGGGCTTTTGATGAACAAAAGCACCTGATATATGCTCCATAGCTCAGGCCTCAGAGGAGTGCCTCACACAGCCACTATTGTTTGCAAAAGAAGTTAATTAACAACATTAGGGACCAGTGCACTGCGGTGTACACACACTCACACGACGAGCCAGAGTCATGCTGATGTGATAATTACTGCTGAGTTTCAATCATCTCCCCACATGTGATTTATGAACGCAGTCACAATAAGAAATCGTGAAGCACCCGATGAATGCCTACACTTATGTTTAGACGTGCTTTTGACAAAAATAAGCTGCTTTTCCAAAAACTGAAAAAAATTCAAACAAAGATCTGACAATGCATTTGTATATAGGAAAATGCATCCAACTACAAATGTAAAAAAAATAAAACTATCTAAAGTTCAGCCACTTCATTTTACATAAAATCTATGGCTTTTTAAAAAGAGCATGTCCCTGGGGTAATTAATGATACTGGTCTAGTGGGTGAGCTTCTTTTAAAACGCTACAACTTAGACTTTTAAATTCTTAATGATCATTTTACATAAGTTCTTAGTGAACTGGCAGAAACTTTTATATAAAAAACAAATAAATGCAAATTTCTTCATGGTCTTATGCGTCAGATTTCCATTATTAGATCAACAGTGCAAATAAGGATACATGTGTATTTTGTGCTTCTTCAGATGTGCTCTAACAGTGTAGTTTCAACAGTGCAGAGTGTAGTGAGTGCGGTGCAGGTGGATAGGACATACAGAACAATGGGACAGAAAAGTAGAAGAAAAGGATGACTAACCTAACCCACCTGAGCTCGGCTCACACGGATCTATGTCCTCATCGTCACTGGGACACTCTGCGGATGCCACCAACAGGTCATCTGTTGTCTGCAACAAAACACAAACAAACATCAGGGACTCTGATTCAACAAGGCCCAAGTCCAGCTGAAGTGGTACTCATGGAGGTTTAAACAACACTCTATAGACTTCACTCGTTGTCCTCCTGAACCCAAGAGACAACCAAGTGTGATTTGTGGAGCTCTTTAGATGGCTGTGAGCATAACCAAAATATGTTCTCCAGGTTTATTTTGAAGACATACAGGTAATTGAATGTTAAATCACTGCTGTGTTGTGGAAAGTGGTTGAGATGATATTTGGGTCAGTGGTTCCAAAACCACATGTAAGTACACAGGTACACAAACTCCTCCTTGATTTTAGTACATTTAACTTATTTTTCTGTCTTTTGGAATAGTCCTTGTTCAGATTAATGCAACAATGGATTGAGGTTTCTTGTGTAAAATATATTATCCAAATTTACACAAACAAGACATTACTGGAATCTATATATATTTAAAAAAAAAAACATGTTTTTTGCATAAATTTAATAAGATGCAATGACAAGTCTTTGCAATCATAATGCAATTATGTGTGAGCATAAGATAAAATGTTTACATAATAACACTTGCTTTCTTCATGTTTCTCAAGGTTGACCATATTAGGAATTGTCTCCGGTGAGTTAGTTTCAAGAGAGGGGGGGGTTTATCGGTCAAACACAACAGCTGCGCCTCCACTGTCCAGGCAACACCATCTTTATAGGAACAAGATCCGATTATGGGAGAACGTATCGGGCGAAAGTTCACAGTGCAATCGTCAAGTCACATGCTCAATTTGTGGCTCAGCGTGTGGCCGAGCAGCGCCCTTCAAGGGGCTGTTTAGAACCATCACACCCCCTGACATTTAGAGGACAAGCAGCTAGAGAGGAAGAGCTACACATGGGGAACAGAGGCCAGTGTGCTCAGGGTCTCTCCAAGCTGTTAGTGCTATATGGTGCACATCAAGGCATTATTGTCAAATGAAATATGGTTACATCATTCTGTTACATTGTTATTAAATATTATTAATTATTAAAAAGTGCATAAACTTAATTTTGTTTCAGTTGGTAATTTGTGTGAAACATTTGACAATCACTTTTAAAAGACTGCTCTTACATAAAGCATCTTAAAATCTATGAATTGAATTGAAATCTGTTGCAGTGGTCAGATTATTTACATTGCGTGCATTTACAAGGCGTGTGGGTCTGGAACTGTATCTCACCTTCCTGATCTTCAATGTCCGTGATTGACAGTTGGATTAACCAATCAGAGAAACAAATAATCAGATGTCTTATAAGTAAAATAAAATAATAAAGACACAGAAGACACAAACCAGCAAAGCACAAAACTCATCAGTATCTGGGGTAAAAGAAGCAATATATATTTGAAGTGTACAATACTTTTCAGGAGGACATGTCTTTGGCCTTTGAGAAACCCACGCTACAAATTAGAGACTTTGTTTGTCTTGTCCTGACTGAGGATGAGGATTATTTGATGTACTTATTATACAAAGCAGAAGGGACTGGTTGGACAGGCAATGCAATCTGTAGTAGAAATGTTACAATAGTCTCTTAACGCAGCGCCAAACAGTTATTTGATCCTTTGTGTGCAAATGGGAAAGGGCAAACAGGGCGCTGAGAAACCCACTGTAAAACATTAGAGTGCGCTCTTCTGTATAGTCTTGCCTCGGGCCATTTGATCAGCTCTGCGTTAAAGGTCATTTCATTTAAGCACAGTCGCAATTTGGGCTCAAGTACAATTTCAGAGATGGGACCAGGCCTTAGCAGCCACTTAAAACTACAGCTACACATAACTATGCACACACAATTAGACATATCTGAATAATTTAATAGTACAAATAAACAATATTTTTATTTGGGTTCCTATACAATATTAATACAGATTCAATTTAGGCACAATGGTTAAACTTTCTTGGAGGATGGTAGGCCACTATCACAATATGCCATTAAACAGATTAAAGCTAAAACAAATACCTTAAAAAACATGCATTCTTATAGTGAGTGGGATTGCCTCTGCACAGATCTGACCTGCAATGACCTGCTGGCATCACCTGGTTGTCACATAGACTGTGTAAAGAAGTGGACTTAGGTAGTATGACGTCACCTATAGCCTTTGGCCCCAGTCAAATGAAGCTCATAGGGCTAGCAGTTATAGGAGCGAATATAGAGCTGAGTTCCATTTATTTACAGACAAAACAGTGAGACAAAAACACCAGGATCATGTAGAGAGGGTGAATACGGACATTTTAAGACGCAAATAACAAGGCTCACTACAGCAGTTATAGAGAAGAGTGACAGTTTTTCAATGTTAAGTCGATTGGAGCTAGAAATAATGGACCCAGAAGGACCCCCATGCACACTTCCTATTTGGAACATGGGGACCAGTGCAGTAGCATGTCCATTTACCGAAATATTGTGATATTGTATTGTCAAAAATCTCACAATAATATCGCGGACCATCAAAATATATCTAATTACAAATCTGTTTGCTTAAATTAAGAATTATGGTGCAGTAATGGCTTAAAAAAGACACAGGGAACTACATAGACCATGATCCTTTGCTCCATTTCAGTGCAGAATACAAGAAGAACTAACAGTTCTAAGCACTTTTAAGTCTTAGTTCTTTGGACTAAGCCTTGTCAAGGCATTTTAAGAGGAAAAAGTAGCATATTAACAGTTGTGTTAGCCTCCACAAAATATTACAATAAATATCGTACCGTGAGATGTATATCGTGAGAATATCGTAGCGAGAGATTTGGGTATTGTTACATCTCTAATCGTGAGCCTCACCCCCAATTCGTGAGCTTTCCCTCAATATCGCAATAAATATCGTACCGTGAGGTTCATACCGTGATGATATTGTATCATAAGACTTGGATATCATTATACCCTTACATTTATATATACAGTCTATGGCTTGTCAACATATGCTCAGTGTTTTACTGTGGAACCAGAACCAGAAAAGTTAGATCAATAAAATGTCTACAGTATTCATTTATTATAGACATACCCCTTGTACAGTGAATCATTATGTGGATTCACCCTTAACAAGCACAAATTAATAGGTACGGCCTAAGGTTAATTTAATTAGGGTGGTTATAGGTTAATGTATTTGTGGATTTCTTCCCTCACTGTGCGTCTAAACAAACGTGTAAGTTGGATTACCCTCAGCTCTTATAGGAAAATTAAAGTTGATGTCACTTGGCCTGCACATCCATTTGGCTGCTTATAATACAATTCTGCTGCAAGTGTAACATCATTTGGACATTCTGAACACGCGTTGTCTTTTACATAATAGACCTGGAAATGATAGATCAAAGCCATTAGAGGACTTTGTAGTGGTGGAGTACAGGGCTGTGTGCTTTTGGGTGCGTTTGTGTGTGGGGAGCTGCGGAGAGAGTCCAAATGTAGATTTAATTTGCCAAGCGCGGTTCTGATATACAGTGTCGACCGTCCAGATGGCAAAAGCGGGTGCATCCTGGAGTGCCACATCCATCACACGAGTGCTGTGATTTGTTTTTCCTGGCGGGAGATCTTGACACCACGGCACTCACGGGCAGAGCGACGCGAACCAAGGAATCAATATGCTCTCTCTCACCTCTCTCTCTCTTAAACTATACCTGTCTCGACCGACCACTCACTCACCCCCCTCGATCTCCGTCCTTCACTTTTATTTGCGAGTGCGGAGGAGGAGGAAGTGGCGAGATGTGCAGGTACCAGATGTAGGTTAAGTCCCCGAGGGTTAACGTGGCAGAGGTGTGTGCGGTGTGCCCATTCAAATCACAGAGCTACATGATTGAGACTGCAGTCAATGTCAGAGATGAATATATTTGGACTGGCCTCATTGGTAATTTGTGTCCAGAAGTTCAAATGAAAAAAGACAAAATAGGATGATGACAAAAAGGAACTATTGCTTAGTTGCTAAAAAAAAAAAAAAGGTGCACATCAACCAGCAGAGTAGTCAAAAAAAAAGGAGTTTTGTTACTTCAAAATCATCCAAAAAATTTATCCAAAACTGCAAACAAGATTGCAGTTGATATGGTGTTGTTTGGGTACTGAAATGATGTAACGATGTAAACAATATTTTTTCCTAAATGTGCAGTAACATTTGGAGTTGAGGGCACATCATCTGCCCGTTTCCATGGATACAATAGAGCTTAGTCTGAAATTGTTCCAAAGTATGGCATTTAATTCATCTTATATTTAACTTATAGTCACAAACTGTCACCACCAGACCAAGTTACTAAATAAGGCATGTTAGGGCATAAGTGTCTTATTTGAAAAAAGTCAGTAATTGGAAGTTGGCACCTTAAGCTGTAGTTGAGCCATTAACAGTTCCATTGTGTGAACTTGTCTGATATCCACTGATATTTTTGAACAGTAAAAAACAACAGAGTAAGTGTAAGTGTGTACTGTGGAACATGCCATATGATCTGAAGATAAACAGGTCATAAACATAATGAAAATCATGAAGATAAGCAGGTGGCAGACCCGTCCCCCACACAAAAGTTACATACTGCATCTTGATTGGGGTAGAAAAGACAATTATTTATTATTTGTTTGTATTGTTACTAGAGTGTGATACTCAAGTAAGTTTTGTGATAAACAATAAAAAAATAAAAAAAAATCAAATTGAATAAAAATATAACTGCTTACTTTTTTGAGACAACATGCTATGATGACAACAGCCAGTATCTATTTGGCGTGTGCTGCTCCACATTCAATCCCACTGTGACCTTTTGACCTGTAATGCTATTATATTTCTAATGAATGGATATTGCGGTGCGTTATGGTGCTATAAGCTCCAGAATCAACACTAAAATGAATTCACGTGTTGCTGAGTGCCTCCACCACCCAGGATTAGTGTGTAGGTCAACATTTTGATGTGGTCATGACCTGGTCCAATCCAATAACATTACCAATTCATGGGGTCTCTTCCAAATGTTGGCTTGCTCTTCAGCCGTGACAATTCAATGGGGGATCTGTGCTGGGCTTA